GAACGATCGCCCCCCCCCCCCTCCAATGGGGGAGCGAGACTCCCGTCACAGGACGGGGGAATGCCTGCGCGGAGTCGACGTGTACGTGGAGATAGTGTGAGGAAGATGCAATTGGCCAATCACGCGGTTTCAATCTCGACGATACCGTTCGGCATCACTAAAACCGGTAAAAGTTACAGCACCACCCCACGCACCGTCCACATCTTGGACTAGGCCAACAACGGGTTTGTTTGTGATGCACACTTTTCGCTTGCCTACACATGAACACCGACACTAGGTAGAGTACGAACAACGAGACAACCCCTGATCGATCACTGTTCGACAGAACAATCCTTCATCCGCAGCAACTGCAGCAGTAAAAACGTACCACGAAAACAGACTTGACAAACACAAAATATACCTCCCAAGTCATGCTCAACATTGAAGCAAAGTGGGACAAAGAGCTACCACCGCTAACTCCATCATTTCACGTTCACTTCCCACGATTTTACAGTCTAGACCGCAAATACTTCGCTTACGCCAAAGTTGAACGGCCATACCCATGCGTGCACAGCCGCGATAGCGCCGCTTCTTTTTTCCCGCATCCCTCCTTCAACCAAAAACAAGAGGGTGCTTCTGTAGGAAAAAAATAAAATAAGAAGGGTGTAGCTTGCAGGAAGCCTGTGATACGGCACACAGGGAGCACGTGTAAAGACAGACAACAAACAAATAACAGCTTCTGAGAATGACATTCTACTAACACGAGCAGTGGGCTATCCGAGCCGACAAGTCTACGATAACCCAAGTATTTTTCTCTACTGTGGTAGACCCGGGGGGGGTGCCGGCGTCAAGCCTGTGCCTTCAACCCAGACCACCACACCTCAAGAACAACACTCCGAGATCAGGTCTGTTTGGTCTACAGACCTACCTCGGTTTGCTTCACGCCAGTACCGCATTCCGTTGTGCTGTAGGAACTCACGCGGTAGATCCGCGTTGAAGAAGCAAGCTGGAGCTAATTCTACAGCCCACTCAACCACCACGCAACTTGTAAAACACACAACTGACAGAAATGACCACCACGGGCTTACCGGGTCATCCATGTCTATCCATGGACACACAGTCTGATGCGTGTCGAGTAATGTACTCAGAGAGAAAGGAGGAACAGGAGGTTTTTTACCAATCGGGGTCTTTAATAAAACACCCCGTGTCAAATCCAACACGAAACAAGAAAATCCATGCTAACCGTTATCCTTAGACCTCCCCACTCCGATCAATTCCACTTGCACGGTGAGACGCGCAGTGGCAGCAGCCAGACACACAATATCTATTATAAACACCGCCAACGAACAAGTTATGGTACAAGAGCGCACCTGCCTATTGCAGTTCCTACGTGATAGGCTGAACTCTCGACAGATTCGAGCAATCTCAACAAGTTGCTGGGAAACACTCGGAGTAGGGGTGAGAGATTCATCATGCGTAAGGTGCGACTCGTGCCCAACCCCTCTCACCAACTCCTTAACTCGAATTTTCCAGTAAAGGCGGGGAAACCATCCGTAACCGTCGAGTGCTTTTCGTAAACGGCACTGCCAACGCGGAAGGGCACTACAATACTACCAAACCCAGCGTGACGCAAAACATAAGCTACGGACGTGATGCTCCGTGGTGCGGTGGCTGACTATTTAGCCATGGCATCGCCGTAGAAAGCACGCTCTCGTAGCGAATGCAAACTTTACTTGCCGGAACCAAGGTCAAGGTGAACCAAGCCTCCAAAAACAAACGGCCCAGATCGAATCTCACGGTTGCACTGGCAACGACCACAACCCGCGGGTGTTGGGCGGGCGGGCCACCGAACACGACGAGCCAACGCGACAAACGGTTGAGCCTTCTAACCCCGTCGTCACCTCCAACGGAAACAAAACCCACAGAGCAACGGCCACAAGGCCGTCGATCGTCAGGGGACAAGGGCTTGGCGGGCCAACAGACACGCCAAGCCAGCTACGTGAGGACAGATGGTGCCTCCCAACCCCGCCACCCTCACCAGCAGACCACCACGAACATGACGTCATCGTTCCCCCGGCGGGTCCGGGGCGAAAAAGATGATGAAGGCCGAGAGCGCCCAAGCCAGCAACACCGTGAAGGCGACCGCGGCGAGGGAGCGCACGAACACCACCCACCAGTAACACGGACCTATCTCCGCCTGCCGCTCCTCCTCCGCCCGTGGGTTCAGGATGTCGCGGATGCTCTTCACCAGGCCGAGCTTCATGACCTTCTGCTGCATGGCGAACATGGAGAACACGTAGCTGACGATGGCGACGGCGTGCCACTCGCGCACGTCCGCGCCGGCGAGGTACGCCTGGATGGCCGTGGTGATGATGATGATCGGGAAGTCCTGGCAGAAAAGAAAAAGAGGGCCCGGGGTGTTCATGAAAGGGTCAAGGAAACAAACGGGGCCGTCCTGTCTAAAGTACACATAAACCCGACGACCCCGTATATACGGACGACAATCGGCACTAGGAATATTGATATTTGTTTGTTGGAACGTTAAAAATCGCAACTTTGGCTTCCACTTATAGTGACGCGAACCGTTGACGCTCCTGGAACGCTCCAACTCCAGTGAAAGAAACGGGCGAAGTACAGCAGGCCTTTCCACCCCAGCTCCCAACCTGATATAAATAGTCGTCGGTCAGCCTGGCCTCGGTTCTGTACGTGGGTCGTGCGGTGTCGTGTCGAATGACTCACCTCAAAAGAGATTGAAACCGCGGTGCCGATGTCGGAGAAAGGTCCGCTTAGGAAGGACATCAGTCCCACAATAGCGAACCCTAGGACAGCGAAAGCAACTCCGTCGGGCACCTTTGTCGTGTCGAACAAAGACATGCATGTGTCGTGTAAGCGCAACAAGAAGATGAAAAAAAACAGTAACGTAGATATTTTGTGTGTGAACACCCTGAATGCGTTGGCATTGCCATCGAAAGACTCGTCCGACAGCTTGACATCGTTAAGCCCACCCAGCAGGCTGCTTGAAAAAGCGAGGAAAACGAGTTAAAATAAACATTCGTCTCTGTACTTCGCGAATTATCCTTACATAATTTACGGTAATGAGGAAAAATAATTACACACACAGAAAGACTACCCATTCCTATTACTGAGAGGGGATCCTTCCTTGTGGAATATGAGTCTATCCAACTCGACTCAAAAGATCTTTCTCTGATTGATGAAGAGACAGATGGAAAATACAAGACAGGACAACAAAGCCTAAACGATTCGATCTCAAAAAGCACGTACATTGTTCTCCGTATACAGCTCCTCAAAGTAGAGGAAGTCGGAGAGAATGTCAGCCACTGATAGGGCTAGGATCCACGTTTCGTTGCAGCAGTTCACGCAACACTCGGTCGCAGGAACTGCCATCGTTATTTCGATGGAACAAGAAGTGGGGTGATGGCACAAGTGGCATGAGTAGCTCTTCCACGGGGCCTTGCACCACTCGGGCGAATGCTTGCAGGTTCGAAGAAGCAGCCTGAACGACAGGAAGAGAGGAATGGGCAAGGTGAAGCAGGGGGAAGGGTCAGAAGAAACGAACAAAATAATTTTCCAGCTCCACCGCTGCGGCGGATGTCAACCACCAACGACAGAGGAAGACAAGACGGATATTCTCAGCGTCCAATTTCATCGCAGAAAAAAAAAAAAGGGATACAGCACAAAACAAAATCCGGGAGTTCCAAACACCATCGCTTGGAATACTTCAGTGTTGTGGCGATTTTCTGCGTGAATACCCTTTGTTGCGCACTTCTCTCACGATTATTTTGGGTTATTTTGCTGGAAACACACAACCGAGCAAAAATGTACAAGCCCATTGTAGACGACGCCTTTTCCTCCTTGACTCGAACATAAAAAGATGTCTTCACGACGTGACCGATTTTTTGTTGCCCCGAGAGAGACCAACGCATGAGCCTCGGAAGCGGGATGATTGCACTGCGCGCGATAAGATGTATCACGTAGTGAGGAAGCTCAAATTTAGTGAGGCGCCCGCTTTTTCCCCTTGAGCCTTTGGTTCAGTCTCTAGGTGCAACGAGACGGGGGGGGGGGGGGGGGGGGCTGACCAGAGCCCGGGAGCAGCAGGTGCTTAGGAGGGTATGCATCGAAGAAGTCTATCCGCAGCGCACTCCAACGAGGCACAGCCGTCCAACATGAACGACTCCGTAGAAAAACCTAATAAGGTAGAACTGGATGAGTTACGGTGCCTCCAAGGACACGTCAGCCTGTCTGTGTGGGGCACTCCCTTCCATCTCTGTCTTTCCTGCCTCTTGTCCAGAGGATTTAGTACAAGCCATCAACAAGACTCTCTAGTCACTTGTCAAAAATACGGGCATATGCGACACACAACTCCGGCTCTATAGGAGACACACCAACAGCAGACGGGAGGCAAGTATATCGATCATACCCAATACTGCCCAGCAGCGGCTGTGGCGTCCAGATGCTGCCCTTCCCCCTTCGCACACCAGCAGCACATGAGGAGTCCTGTGCATTGGTGCTACCAGTACAGCAGGACAAGTTTCCCGGCTATTACAGCCAACTTGCCTACACACCAACCTCCTTTCGACCGAGCAACGTTCTGGGAAAGTTCCTTCTGGTTTGGTGTTCCGCGAGGATACAGTAGCTGCTCGTAGCCGTACGTGTGACACCATGACGCACCGGCGCACGCCCCCCAATGTCCTTCCCATCTACTCCCCGCCCTGCCTTGTCCTACCCGGGGCATGCCCTGTCCCAAGCATTGCTGTTGCTCATGAGACAGAGCACTCACGTGATTCAAGTTTGTCTGGAAAAAAAAAAAAAAAAGGGCAACTTCACCCCGGGAATGCGGTACACATGTAGCCGAACAGCACATACATATGCATATGGCAAACCAAAACAGAGGCGATGTTCTCTACTCAGATACACTGTTGTACCACGGGCACACGCAACTATTGCAACACAATCAACGATGCAGTATGGACTTCTACACGGAACAACGAGGGGCGTGGCGCGCGTCCGTTACGCTGGTGTCACCACTACCGACGTCCAATAACGGGGTCCTCGAGAAACAAATAAATATGGTTCTGTCTTTTGCACAATAGGAACAGCTTGTTTACACTACAGGACACCTTTGTGTGCGACAGGCATCTGGCAACAACACAGGCAAGTGCAAACTAGCACGAGTGATCTGTACTACATATCTCTTCATCTCTGTGCGTAAGGCAACCGCCACCCTGCTGTACCGAACCGGTTGCACCATACGACACCAAATACGCTATTGTTGCCAAATGCCGGGAACGAACGCGGTGCCTGATCTGTAACATCCGGAGATAAGGCGAACAGCCTCGGGGGACACAGAGATATGTCCATGTTTAATGTCGGCAGCGGTGAGAGGGACAGCAGTAGCTGGCATAATGCAGCCAGCCGCGCAATTTGAGAACGTATGCAAACATGGAAGTTGTCACCGGGAACAAGGAAACCACACCTTGGAACCTTTGAACCGCTGCTGTTGTGAAGTGCAAGACTGCTGCACGCATGTACGCGTCAAGCCTTGCGCTTCCTTCGTTTGTCTACTGGCTGGTTCATCCAACCTTCCTCACCTCAGCGTTCCAGCTCAGGCTTGCCTTCCGAGCCCGCTGTCCCTCTTCGCAGCGGGTCGCCCACAGTCCCCACTGCTGTAATGTCCCTGGGGACAGGCGGGCGGCGTATGCAATACTGCTGGTACGCTGGTACGCAACAAGCGGGGTGTTTATAGTTCCAGCAATACAAGTAGCCGTTCGGGTGAACCAGGTTGTTCGACGGCGAATCAGCACTCCTAAAAAATCTGCCGTCGGTGCAAATGGAAACGAACGGTCCGGTGTGTTTTATTATTTGTAGACCAAATGTAGACTATTAATACATCCTTTGCGCGTGGGCATCTTCAAGACGGAATTTCCGTCCAACTTGTGTGCCAGAGGACGCGTCAACCTCGGTTGGCTGGGGTTGTGGCTGTCGCCTGTCTAGAGCAGATATGTCTCGAAAAATCTACTGTAGTACACTCGTGCCTTGTACAAGTACATCAGACTTTCGGGAACGTTTTACTTTTGGCTCGCTGTGGTGTGATCGGGTGGTTGTGATCTCTGATCTTTGCCAGCGAGAGAGCCGTGCAGGCATCGCCCTGCTGTCACACTCGAACGACAGAGCTTTCGTTCTTCTGCAGAAGTGTCTTTCGCTTCTTTCTTGGCGTTCAAAGCCATTTTTCTTTGGTGAACTACTCTGTGTGGATCTTTCGAGCCCGAAAACTGGGCCCACATACTATACTGCTGTGTAGATAGACTACAATGCATATTTGCCGTACTAGTCTACACGTGTATACCTTGGTACATAGGAATAGTCTACATACATGCCGCTCCTCTCCTGGTAAGACATTTGTTAAGCAAGCGTTAGACCACCGTCCGTGGCGGTCGTGCACACAAAGTCCATGCCGATCCTCTACATACTAAAAAATCTTGCTAGAAGACCGGCATCGTGGCGTTTGTGTGAGTGAGCGATCGCCACGAACGGTGATCTTGCAGGCGGTGTACTTGCGTTGCTAGGGAATTCATTTCTCCACAAGGCGTGTGGGCGCTTGTTTGCAAAATGGTACTTGAGGGAAGGACGGAGGCTGAGCCCTTCTCGCGCAAAAATATTGCCGCACAGACAAGCGCAAGAGTTTACTATTCTTGTGTGCTACCCCAGAGGAAGGCCCGGCAGCTAGAAATAGCGGACGATGGGTTTTTAAGAAGCCGACGATTTGATACGTCGTGATGTCTGTAGGTATCGTCTCTCAAGCGAGGCGCGGCCACGATCTATTCGCTTCTTGAAAGACTGCTAACGGCTCAAGGGCAACTCCAACTGTAGGGTTGACTTGCCCTTCGATAGGCAGTCTGTAACGTCGGCACTGAAAGGACGGTATCTTCTTGGACAGGATAGTGGTCTCCTCGGTGTCTGCCGTCATGCACGTCGACCTCTTGACGATTTTTCCGCGGGCTTTGCTCGGGTCCATCGCAAGAAGGGCTTAAAGGTGCGAACGAAACCGTTCCGAAAAATACGCCGTGTATGTATGTATGCGTAAATGTGTAAAACCACTCAGCTAGCTCTATACATACGCGTCTCGTGCACACGGTTGCCTGCAACGTGTTTCGGTTCACCTTAGACAAGAATAGCCTTTTGCGTGTAATCCCCAGTGTTGCAGGCACAGATATCCGAAAGTGCCTGAGGCGCTGGGAGTGCTCTGCATAGGTCGATGGTGGACTCGGAGCATCGATGGTAGATGGCATCTAGGTTTCATGCTGAAGTTGGACAGGACCTTTTACGCGCAAGCACTTCTCGCGCTCCCCACTGCTGTGACACAAGAAGAGTTACACCGCTGCAGCTGCGGTGAAGGAGGCGTCTGATTTCACATACAGAGTTCGTTATGGCTACTCTGCAGGTGAAAATTAGTGCCCCAAGAATCGGGTTTGCCTGCGGATCGTTCGGTTGGCTTTACACACATGGTTCCCACACGGAGCATATTGGGCGGAGGAGAGACGGATAGACCTGGAGATGCAAAACAAGAACCCTGTTCCATGTAGGTTTGGGAGATGACACCGGGTGCTCATTCATCGTTTAGCTCTTCGCCCTTTGACCAACGATTCTCAATGCTCAATGCTGTGAGAAGATTCGGTTCCGCACGGCGTGCTGCTGTTCGGCGAGGCTTCCTGATTGGATATTCCCAGAATGTCGCAACGGAATCTACTTCGAATTTTGGGCGGCTGATTTCAGCGCTACGTTCAGTGAGCTGAAATAAAAATATGCAGAAGAGAGTGGAGAAGAAAATGGGCGCGATGAGTTCTCTTTGCCAGCGTGGTACGTGATAAGTACCTCGTGGTTGACCAAAAATTATCTTTGTTTATATTCCTTGTCTGGAAGGAGGCCGAGATACGGATACTAAATGCTTGTTTCTTGCTTTCACTGCCGTCCCTAAAGGAGCGTTGTAGTCCCCGTCAGCAAAGTGCGCACTCTCCGGTGACAATGCTTTCATGGCGTTGTGGAAATTGCGGGCAGCCCGTCATAGCTGTAAAGAGTTTTTGCTTTGGTGCTCCCACGGTGCTCTCTCTGTGTTTGGGGTGTACAGTAGTTTTCACTTGTGCAGGGCTGTGTATCTACGTGTATATCGTACCCATACGGCCTCTGATTGTTGTTGTCGCCACCACTCACTACGTGACACGGAAATTTGTCCTTTCAACACGTAGACAACATTTTGCTTTTGGCGGACTCTTAACCCTCCGGGTACTGGAAGCCCAAATGGGGGACACTTTAGGGACAGCACTCAAATGCCTATTTACCGCACTGTCATTACCCTAGGCTCCGCTGTGTGCAACGCACGTGAGAACCCTTGGTCTATGTATCATGCTTGGCTGAGGTGGTACGCTGTGTGACATGCTGTGTGATGCGTCTCCTGGGCCTCTGCCTTTCTGTACACATCTCCCAACCCGCGTGCCCCCCAGGTCGTAAAACTATACATCGCCTGGTACTGGAAAAATTTGCTCGACTTGGCTTCAGTATGAAAAGTGTCTCATACGTGTTTTGGGGACACTTGTTAAGTGCTAGAGCAGTGGGGACACTTTTCATGAGCTGCAAGCCAAACCACCCTTTGTTTGGCAAGGAGCTCAGGTCCTTTGGAGGGACTGCTGTAGCCCTTCACCAGTGGCTGACAAACTATTATGCGACAATTTTGTTTTTGCGGAGGGACCGAGTACTAGGAGGGTTAAGGGCGGGGCTTGGTGTGCTCAGTCAAGAAGCTATCAGCATGTTCATTGGAGGACGCCCAGAACATTAGTAAAAGTAGTATGATGTACCGCTGCCGTGTGGGTGTTGAAAACTCCCGCACGTAATCGAAACAAACGAACAACCTCTGGGCGATATGTTCAACATATCAACCACATAATATATAAGTACACCCGTCACAACCCCTGTTAAAGTGCAACGTCTGGAAAGGCGAGATTGTCCACAACAACGTCTGTTTTATGGTAAAAAACTCTGCACAAATACCAAATATTGCCATCAACAGACAGTCACCCCTTATTTTCAACACAGATAGATGGCGAGCGTCCAAGTCCAAACGAAACCCTTTTGGAGATATTCTGCATCGGGCAACAAACAATGTCACACTTGTCAACGCAGCATGTGTCGCTATCTGTCGGGTTATTTGCAACTTCATCTCTCCCACAAAACATTACTAACAAGGAAGACCCAGTTGGACTTCTACAGCTTAAACGCGCTCAATCCGGCTTAGCGTGAACTGAAACGCTGGTTTGACCAACCTTCCGCAGCTACAGTTGATCCCGTCTAAGCTCCACGCCCCGAGCTTGCTGCCGCACACTACTGTTCCCTTCTTCCCCGGACAACAAATTTTGCCAGAGCTATGGGCAAAATGCCCGGAATGCCGCCCCCTGTCCGCAACAACTACCCAATCCAAGGCTTCCGTAAACACAGAGGTGCACATCCCTTTCCCCGCTGAAGAGACTACGCTTTTACCACAGTTATTGTTGCTATGGGTCGCACCTCCCCCACGACGAACGGTTGGGTCGTGCCGGCCCTTCGCTCCGCGGACCACCGTTTTTGTTGAACCAGCTGCGGCGATGTCAGCGGCATCTCTCGCCTTTATCCAGGAGCTGCCGTCCCCGTGCTTGCTGAAGGAAGCGAAGGTGCTGTCGCTCGCGGCTTGAACAACGGGATGGAGGTGGTCGAGGACGTTGCTGTCGCGAAACAGCGGGGCGCGGCACGCCTTACAGCGGTACAGGCGGCCGCAACCCTCCCCTCCGTGGAATGCACCGTTATGCCCACCTTCGCCGCCGAAACCGCCGCCGAGATTTAAGCCGCAAGCGAACAAGAACCATCGATACGTTGCGGCCGCCCAAACCGTGGTGGTGTTAGTCGAGGGCTTTGATTCCTGGCTGATCCCAATAGGTTCTTCTGGCGCCACTCCTCTGCCTCCTGCTGATGGGGCTGTTGGCCCAATCTCGACCTTCTTTGTGGCGGGTAGTCTGCAGCCAAGGTCGCTATACAGGTCCAATTGAGCCTGGAAGCCCGGGTTAATGTGGACCGTAGGCTGCGCTTCTTGGACAAGCTCGATGGCTTGAGCCACGGAGAGGCCCTTGAGTCTCATGAGGTACGCAGCCACGACGGTAGGACTCCTCGACTGCGCGTAGACACAGTTGACTAAAACGTTCTCTTCTCGGCTCATTCCCTCCTCGATGAAGGACACGCAGCTGTCTAATCGCCCCAGCAGGTTCTCTGAGGGAAGGTCTAGGATGTCAACCTCGAGGTAGGAAATGTTTTTGCTGCCGTTGCTGTGGACTTCATCATCGTCACCCTGATGAAAGGCTGGTGTCCCGACGCAAACTATCCTTGACACTCGGTGGCGTCGCAAGAGCGATCGATCTTGAGCGGCTTTCTGTGTACCGACAAACAGCCGCGCTCCCTTCTCGGGTACTACAAGGTACAGCCCATCGCTTGCCATACGGAGCAATTAGGCACAAAAAGGTGTGCTTTTCAATGTTGCACCCTGGGTGGTAGTCTAGAGGGTGGAAAGCAACGCCCGAGTTCAACTGAACGCCCGCTGGTGCCTGGTCACACAGACCGATAGTGCAGCGCTCGATAAGGAGGGTGTGCAGTGCTAAATCAGGCAAGAACCTTGCATACTGCATACTTCAGCATACATCCCAGCGGCATGCGGCGTAACTTGAGAACCGAAAGTTGACCATGGAGACCCCGGGGATGGAACGTTTCATCCCCTGAGAGCCCGTTTTAGTTTGCAGAGCGGAGACTCTCGTACATAGCATGTTCTCATAAGCAACCAACAAACAACCCTCGTTCGTGCGAGAGAGAGACTGCGGATCGAATGGATTCTAACCATGCTCCTCACTATGATGTCGGGGATGAAATGGAGATTGATCTGGGGCCGGACGGAGATGGAAAAGGCGGTACCACTACGAACGCGATGCACTCGGGCAGCACAAGAATCGAGAGTGGAACGCATGTTCCCACCGCAACCCGCCCAAGCGAACGCTGCGGCCGTTGTTTCCGGAGAAAGTTCGTGAGGTGCGCTGGTGGCTGTTCGCGACGCGGTTATTTGTACAACGGTTTGTGTCGATCCCTTGCTGCGTTGTTCGCGCTTGGGTGTCACGTTTGTATCTCCTGGGTCCTCCCGCCGGCAGCTGATGAGTTCATAGCAGAAATCCCCCACCTACAGTGTTCCGGCGGCTCGGAGTTTCAGACACATGGGGGCCGCGGCCCTTCATCGCCCCTGATTGTGCAAGATGCATAGGTACCCACGGAACTCCATTTCCAAGCGTCGTATCAATTTCGCATATTATAGTAACGAAGAAGGTCAGTTTTCCGGCAACGTCTGGTTCCTTCGGTGGATTTATGATTGTGAAGTCGGCACCATCGACACGGCGGTATTCTACAACACCAAACTCATGCGGGGGAACTCGTTAGTACTCATCTGCGAAACTGAAGAGCTTGCAACCTGACGGTCCTGCGGCTTGCTGGTAAAAAGTTACATTTTGTGGAGTGAGCTGCTGTTCCAGAGCTTGCCATAGGGAGCTGCTGCTGTAGGAAAAGTCTCGACATCCCCTCCGAGTGCCTGGGTTGTGAGGTATTTTATCCGCATGTTGGCGGCTAAATGTCGGGGAAACAGCACCCAAGGGACAGATCATGAGCTAGCTCACCTATGTCCTACAGACCACCTCGGAGCAAACATACTGAGATCATCGATGTCCTTCTGATCACCTCGGAGCAAACATACCCCGATCACCTATATCCTTCAGATCACCTTGGGCAAACATACCCCGATCACGTTGTCCTTCATATCACCTCCGGCAAACAATCCCCGATCACCTACAGCTTGTCCCACAATTACCTACGGCAAACATGCTCTGATCACCTGTGTCCCACATATCACCTCGGAGCAACCATACTCAGATCACCCATGTCCCACAGATCACCTCGAAACAGTCGTACTCAGATCACCAATGTCCTTCAGATCAGCAGGGAGCAAACATGCTCAGATCACCGATGTCCTGCGGATAACAAGGGACATACCGTCCGAATGAGCTACAGCTCGATCTGTAGGGATCTGACCTCTCCTATGCGTGAAGAGCTTCCAAGGGTATCGAGGGGTATGACAAATGCTAACGCTGTCTCGTACTGTGTAGCGGTAGCATTACCACACATTTTGCTCTGCTTTGCAGAGCGATCTCATGTACGGACGGCTCACTTGTCACGACATACCGTGGCACGACTACACCAGTTTGCCCACGGTCGTACGTCAAGAGCTCTTCACTGACTCAAGCATTCGTCTCCTCGCCGACGACTGAAGCGATTCTGAGCTGTGTTTACAATTCGCTACTTACTCCGCCCCGCGCCCACACCCGTCTCCGCCCCGCCCCGTGACCTGGCCCAACGCTGGATATTCATCCTCTCCACTTCTATGGCGGACGTCCTGGAAAAGGGTGACATTTCGCCTGGTAAACCTCGGGTTTGCCGCCGTCTTCCTGTCATCGGCAATACTGCAGTACAACGACGACGACGGTATCGCATGGGCAGCTCTGTACTTCGTGGGTAAGATACATCAGACCACGAGATCAGGCAACATCTACATCAACCACTATAATAGCGTTAACGGCGACCGACCCTTCAAGGAGAAGAGTGTTGCCACTTGGAGATTCCTGTCGTTGTTCTCTGGTGTCTGATCCGTCTTCTGTTCGCCGCCTTCGCCCGCTTGGTGTTTCCTTGTTTCCACGTAGACAGTGTCGGGCGTCCATACATCGCCCATGCCGTTTAGACCGTGTGGCATATGACGTGCTTCCGATGCGAAGCGCCTTCACCAAATAGATGTGTTCGTTGCGTTGCGTTGCACCGCACCATTAACTACGCATACAACGCATCCTGGTACAGCTAAGCCTGCACACAAACTGCGACCTGTAAGATTAACGTCCTGTAGCCGTCGTTTTCGATGTTCACCTCCGCACGCTACGATGCAGCCGCCGTATTCTGCATTCTGTCGGAGCTAAGCTGGAGACAACTGCGGACGTTCTTCGTGCTGCCAACGTTGTGGGTGTTTACTCTGTGCTCCTGGATCGGTGAGAATGAGAGGTCATACCGCATACGCGCCGCCATGATACGCACGCGAGCCATGGTTGTACATAGTTTTTCTATGTACACTACATCCCCTAATGTTCGATAACTAGCTTCTGGGGTGTAAGGCTCCCCTCTCTTGCAGAGCTGCCACACAACTTCTGGCGATGTTTTGTTGTCTTGTCCTTCGAGAGTGTGCGTGCGCTTGCAGAGCTACTAGAAGCGAGTGGCGTGCATTGGACAAAAGTTTCCTGTTGATACAATTGTAGCTTTTCCTTCCCAACCCCAGTGATTGTTTTTTAGTCAAGCACCGAATATTCTATTGCGCGGGCTCGAATGTTAATTGATAAAAACCAGCGTTACGAAACCGTGTTTATCGCGCCTCTCGTAGCTCTCGCGGCGTCGTAGCTGTGGCGCATTCATGAGAGGTTTCCAAGCGACAACGATTCTGCTTTTTGTGCCCACCTCACCCAACTTCAGACCGCCCTCCTTCAAAAGAACCAAACTGTCGATGTCTCGGGATATTTGATGCTCTTGTTGCCGCGGGATTGATCCAGCGTTGTGCACATGAAAACAGCAGTTGGTCTCTGACTGAATCAGCTCCTTTTCTGCGATACAACAGCCGCATTTTCCGTTCCAAACGGTATGCGAACACCAGTACATAAACGTCTGCTGGGTACAAGTCCGTTCTTTTGCGCACCCTCGCAGGAGCCGCGTATGTCCTGATTGCCCAGCTGCTCGTGGGCCACGCCGAGGGAGGGGCGTCGGGCGAAGACGCCATGGATTTTTACGGGCTACTGCTGGTTTCTTTCTGGATGTCCATCGTCCTGCTGCTAGATCGGTGAGCCGATTTTACCGCACACTCTTGTGCTCGAGGCTCTCACTCCCTGCGTCGTAAGCGCTCGTTTACTGCGACTGCGGTTCCCTGTTCGCTCATCCCGTGTTCATTTGTAACTAGCACCTGTTTTGTGGTGGGTAATGTTGTCTTAGTCTCTGGGCACCAATCGGTGTGCGTGGTGCTGTGAGTGCAAACAAACCAAAGGTGAGGTAAAAAAATGGCGATGAGCCATGGTCGTATGCTCATGTTGACCTGTATGCATATTGAGTTGTCACCCCGAAGGCAAGCTTGTGTCCGCACATGCCCCCTGCTGGATTTGTCTGTCGCCACCCTCCTGATTTACTGACCCCCCCCCCCTTCCCCCCCCTCCCCCCCCCTTTTTTTCCCCTCTGCCTTTTTCTGAATCTTGCGGCCTTGCTTGATGCTCCAGGCATAACGTGGTCGGGGTGTTTCGTGGATACACGAGCTTGACGGAGCACGAGCGAGATCGGGAGGGGCACGTGCAGATGGGAGAGGTGGTTATTTGACTTGCCTCGTCGATATATATGTCCAATTGGGGTGGGCTACTTGCTGCTACGGTGTGTGCTTGGTGTTGCGCTCTCGTTTTTTGGCGCTACTGCTTCTTCTACCGCTGCTGCTGCGGTTAAACAGTGAAATTGATGTTTGCTTTGTTTCGGGGTTGTGTTGAAGTAGTGTATAAACGGGATAAGTGTGGTTAATATTTATTCGCGTGCAGACATACACGGTATGGCATAGCGTGCAGTATATAAAAAACGAGGAGGGCGAGTGCACGGGTACACTGGGGCTGGCGGTTACCTACGCAAGGCGCGTACATATATTCTTAGAAATGGTTTAGTGGGCCAGGTAAGAGGGCGCCTGGTATTGTATCAGTTGCCTAAACTGCAGTAGGTGTTGAAATTGTTTTTTTGTTTGTTGGACTGGGGATCGCATTGACTACTTATGTTTTCTGCGGCTCGTTCGACTAAACAGCTCGGCACTGAATGCTCACAGTCTCTACGGAGGGACCCGATAGGCAGCCATGATAGCTTATAAGTAAGGTTATCTTGTATACACCAAGGAAGTGGATTGGTCCGCCGGCCTTCCTTCCGCGTTGTGGGACGTGTCCCGAATATCGTATTCGAGTCGTGTCTACAGAGTTGGTTTCGGGATATTATGTGTCTGCCGATAGGGTACGCAAAGAAATTACAACAGCACCAAAAACTTTGTACGGCGCCATGTTGGGAGGCTGCACGGAGCAATTATGTCTTGGCCGCCACCGCATGCTGATGTTTTGGGTGCTCAGCTCATTTGTGCGCGAAATATTGATGGCACCGTGGGCGAGGTTCTGTCTGAAGCGGAAGCGTTGTGTCTGAGCTCTCCCCGCTTGGTTGATTTGAGCGAGGAGTTGAACCTATCGCCGGCTTGGGAAAACTGAACTTCTACCACCAAATTTGTTACTCCGGAGCCGGCCTTTGCTCCCATTTTCGATTTACCAGAGGTCGTAAACGAAGTCACACCGCCTCTAAATGTGGGCAAGTAGGAAACGTTGATTTCACGTGTTGGTAACATTCGTGTGTGTGTGTATTCGCAACAATATTACGGCAGGGGGGACAGACCCATGGATGACGCACAGGGGCATCGCACTACGCCATCCTTGAGCTTCTCCTCGCCGCCTGCTGTTGTGGGTGTCTCGTAGACCCCGCTACATTGTTACCCGTCGGACACACGCAAATCAAACCCACCAATGAACGGTGAATGAACGATTGAGCACAAAATGTCTTGCAATTTACGCCATTCGTGTCCATCCACGCAAGGACATACAGCTGGCTTCCTCAGCCTGCCCCCACGTTATCCAGAACCTGAGGTTGCCCATATCACATGGGGCGCCTGCACGGCATGGAACAATAGATGCATGTGGTATGGAATAGGTGTACTTGTTTCACAAAAACATGGTACGGTACTCGACATACAACGCCTTACTCGATACAAAACGCCAAAAAAATCATGGCACGTACACTACTCGACGCAAAAAGGCCAGACATGCACGTGAATTTCACGCAAACCAACGTAAAGCCAGCATTCACCACTACCATCAACTCCGCACCACATGCGCTACGACACCACTCGACACCATGCGACCACTCGCGCATTCAGCGATGCTTGCCCTTGCACCTACAATACGACATCCTTTTTCAAAAACATGTTGCTTCCAACGCGCAACCTCCGGGAAGCGCACGTTCTATGTCTATCAGGATACACACAAAATCTGGTAGACAACGGTCACCAACAATAAATGACGAAATAGTAGTAGTACCGCCACCGCAAAAAACCCAGCCCAAAAAAGAAGCATGATGAATGGGGGTAATCGTTAACCCCTCCCCCCGCCACTTCACAGCGCCCCTCCTGCTTGGCATACTTTGACAGCCACCTCGTCAATCCTCTTGCCTAATGACTCCACGGTCTCGCCGAAGTTGACCGGAATCCTGAGAATCTCACGACCTCCCAGGTGCAGGTGGAGCGAAGGTAGCCGGCCTATGGCTTGCCTGTCCGCAACCTTGTTTGAATCAACAGAGAGAAAAGACGCGGTGGGCCATCATCACACGTGACAGCAGTGAACGAAGGGGGGGAAAGGGTTATATTCAACGGACATTTTGAAAAATATTCGATGCACCCAGAGGGACGCAAATATGCCAATGCACCCACACTTGGCAGTCCCTCCCACACAGACCTGCACTATTAGAACCGTTTACCACCCAAGAGCGACCTCACCCTGCTCCAAGCACCTCCGACCTACATAGCACCTACCCACGCAGTAACACCCCTATTATAGCACCTTCCAAGCAATAACAACCTAGAAATTCCCCGGTCAACACCAACCTAGCGCCAATGCCGGCACACTAACCTAGACCTTAGCCACCCAGCGCCAACCTAACACCTATTGGGTGGATTTGGGGTTAGGGTTAAAGTTAACGTTTGTAGCCGGTTTCATGCCCCTGCCTAAAAGCGGAGAATCTCAGGTTGAGAAGTACCAGTTTGCTTTGTGAAAAAACAACTGGTTGCCGGGTTCAAGGCTGGAACTTTTTGTCCTCTGTTTTCCTGCGTAGGACATTTTCGGCCTGCGGAAGGGTGTGGGTGCGTCCTCCTGGGTGCAAACAGTTTTTTTGGGACTTTTTTCAACGGAATTGCTGCAGCGAGCTGCTACTATCTGTGTAACATGAAGATGCTGACGGAGTACGTCGCCGAGATGCAGCCGTTCAGCGGGCGAGCTATTCGTCATGACGCCTGGTGTATCAAACCCAAGCATTGTGAGCACTCTTTCACGAGGGGGTGATCGTCGATAGATTTGGCGAAGGTGTCAATACTTCCACTCTCTGTGCTCGGGAACGGCTAGCAACACAACCGCAAAACACACCTCGATAAGGCTCATGACGTTGGCCTCCGCTAGCAAGACCGGCACCCGTTCCGCCCGCGGTTCTGCCGCCTCCGGTTGCAACGTCCCCGTCGTCGTGGTTACCGCTCCAACGCTTTCTGGCTCCAGATCGGGCTGTGCCCCCGGTGGCGATGGCGGCTTGGCTCCTGACACTCCCGAGCGATGTCGCCGTTGCTCTTGCGGGTCTGTCTGTTGGCGCTGGTCGTTGGGCTGTTGGCCCTCTGGTGGCTCCTGCTGCAGGAGGGCGAGGCTTTCGAGGATGCCCACTGCGTGCTGGGAGTAGCTCGTGCCGCCGTGGAAGAGAACAGCCACCAGCTTGTGCCAGTTTCTGTGCAAACGAGGGACGCCAGCGAACCGACCAGTGAGAGGAGGGATCTACTCCGAGCAGCAGTCAAGGTCAAGTCCAGGGCACGACAAACACTGCACCAGCCACGAAAAAGGCACAGACAGCAACTTCCCTTGATACCAGGTGGACAAAACGCAACCTAGGCCAAATCACATCAGGCATCATATATACAGCCACACACCAAACAATTCGACCAAACATCAAGAGATACATGTACAACCAACACTAAATATCTCGAAAACCGCACGCACCGCACGAGAGTCCCGTAGAACTGGTCGCTCGTCCGCATCACCAGAGGCCGTCGTTGCGATAGCGCCGTCGCTTGCCAAGCCTCCCCCACGCTGCTGCCGCCGACATCATCGTTCAATGGCATCCACTCCACCCCCGGCAGCGACGGCGCCGCGCTCCCCGGTGGCGGCTCGCTCTCCCACGACTTGGTCTCGGCCCTGGCCACCACCCTGAGACGTTTTTTTTCCCGGTGGGTCCGCAAGCCCAAAAGACATGGAGGGAAAAAAATGAACCAGGGGGGGGTGCGCTTTAGCAGCTTGGTAAACCAAGGAGCAGTGCCGAACGCCGTTTCACAAAATATTGCACATGCAAAAAACACAAGCGAGCCCTGTCTAGTTTTGAGCAACAGTCACTACATGTACAGCGCCTGCCTGCACAAACCGGTCAACAAGGAGAAATAGCCACCGTCGCGCAAGGGTCGGAGTACTGCTAGAAAGGAGTAGCCTACGCCGCTTTTTATGAGGCAGGCATGTTGGATCAAGTATGGAATCGGTGGAATTTCGGGGTTAATGGTTGGGGCTAGGGTCTACGTAATCCCTGTCTCTCTATTGCATAGATAAAGTTCATTTCTTCGCACAGGCAGTCCCTTGGAAGCAAGAGTACCAACTCGAATATGAGTAGTATTGTAGTGTAGACCTCTCACCTCGCCCAGTCCTCGAGCTGGCGGTTGTCTACCGCGCGAAGAACATCCGAGTGTACCCGTCCGCAAGACGCCACCACACCGACAACCTGGCAGCCGACAACAGAGCCTGTGAGTGTATACGTGTTCTGACCGGGCACGCTGTTCCTGTGCTAAATAGACGCGTCGCCTGGCGGAGACAGACAAACAAACAGACAGACAGACAGACAGACAGACAGACAGACAGACGGACAGTCAGACAGACAGACAGGCAGACAGACCCACCTCGCGCGGCAGCTTGGTGCCCAGCGAGAAGTCAAGTGGCTCCCCGCGTGTGTCCGTCACTTTCCCGCCGGCTTCCTGGGCAACGCGAACAAAGCGGTGGAGCAGGTGGCGTGAAAAGAAGCAAGAATTGAGGTACGTACGCCCCGCAGCCGCGTAATCGTCGTGGTGCACAGTGAAGGGAGGAGTGACCAGCAGACTTGACGTCGAGTCCCCTCCCTTGGTAAAGACGTGTTGCAAAGTGTGTTAAAAAAGTCTCTCCCCCCCGACCAACCCCGTCGGGACTACACTTCCATCGGCTCCTTCTTCCAGTGTTTCCTGTCTCACCCGGATAACGACGGACCCAGCACAGTGATCCCAGATATTCTCCACGTATCCCCAACGCGGGAGGCGGAGGTAGATCCCCCCCTGTCAGTTTCGTTTGAGGCGCGAGCGACGAGTCTGGTCGGTCAGAACCTCTAACACAACCATGTCAAGGACGCAGTGTTCGAACAGCTGAGGCATGTCACCACCAAAGCATATTCTCACCACGCCACCACCCCGAAAAACAAGTGCGTGCGGAAGACACCAACTCAAAGGACCTCTACTACAGTCCGCGCCGCGCACCCAACAAGCCACGCGAGCGAGCCCTTGGCTGAACGCCAAATCACGCCATGCATACAATCCGAAACATAGCCGTGCTAGACCCCCTCCCATGCTTTCTCTACCGTAAGTACGGTACACCACGAGATTCTCGGTACGGTTCACCTGTCCCTCCGAGAGCAGCCCGTACTTGCATTGCCCGTCGACCCTGATGGGGGGAAGCGTAATCCCGAGGTCGTTGCAAACCTGCGCCGCAACGGCATGAGAGGTGTGGCCAGCTTCCACCGACTCCAACACCCGAGTGTCGCACGGCTTCCGAGCGTGGTCTACGAAGACTCGCCTAGAATCGTCCGCGCCGGCCGAGATCCCGCGCACGAACGTCCCTTCTCCCAGCGCCGCGGTGTACAGCAGCCCCCTGTCTCGATGCCAGCGGTGGGCGAGGAACACAAGACAGAGAGACGTGTGAGATGGTACGTCGGGGTTGGTGAGACAAGGACCGAGGCTGACACCACAATATAGTCTTAAACAGGCGCGCCAAGACTTGTTTAAGATAAAACCGGGACAGGGTTGAGGGCGATGGATGCTCTTGTACAAGTAGAAAGGGATTCCCACTAAGACGGAAGGGGCGACACGTGGGATACGCCACCGACACCAGGATCTCCCTTAAGCCTAAATTCACACCAAAGGTGGAACGAAAAACTTTGGAGCATCGATCGACGAAATCTCACAACAAGCAGCAACGGCCCAGAAGTTCATGCACATTGGATGCAGAGATCAATTCTGCACCTCACCTTGCCTCCCCTCCCTGAGCCCATCCCGAAAACTCAGATGGGTGCTCGTGGCATGGAAGATTAGGGCACCCCAGTACGCCTGCCACAGCCTTCCCACCGTCCAGCAGACCCTGCAACGAAGAGGGATTGAGCGTGTAGGGGCGTGTGTGTGTGGGGGGTAACGGGGCTTGCTCGCAGGAGGGCGAAAAGGGGGGCTTGACACGGCTATGGTAACGTCAACGTTGTTTGATGAACTGACGGCGCTGGTTTATCGATTGCATCTACTTGCTTCGAGCTTCCCCAGCTTGCGGGAGGGAGGGCACATACCTATTCAGAAACTGTGATATACCCAGGTGTCAGAATTCTTATTGTCGTTGCTGGAGTAAAAAGCGACCACCTACACATGCTGAAACAGCGCCCGGCTGTCGATGCAATCTGAGATAAATGTACACAGCACGCCTGACGAAGAGGGAGCAATCGAGCAAGCATATGCCCCACCCCCCTTTTCGCCCCCTCTTTCCTCACCAGCGCCACGCAAAACTGCTCCCCTCGTAGAAACCCCTTCGTGCCGTCAATCGGGTCAAGCACCCAGGTCCTGCCTCCCTTCCCCCTGCGCCCCCTCTTGTTCTTGCCATGCCCGCGCGTTCCCAGATCGATGGCCGCGCACAGCTCGGCCTCCGCCAGACCCTGCCGCCCCAGCACCGTCCTCACAACGGACAGGACGTGGGACAAGGATTCCGGGTCCTGTCGAAGGACGGAGGAGCTCTCTTCGGCGATGAAGCCGTGCCCGGGGAAGTATCTCGAGAGCACGCCCAGCACCAGCGCTTGGACGGTGAAGTCGGCCACCGTAACGGGGGACGAGTCCGTCTTGCTGCGGAGCACGTGGCGACGTAATGAGGTCGGGAAGGGGCGAGGCCGGAGGGCGAGATTCGGCCGGACGTCGGGGTGGGCGGGCGGGATCCAACAATATCGCTATCAGCATTAGCTTGGAACCGAAACATTCGCCAACGTGGATACCATCCCGCCACTTCCACACTACAATACCACCTGCCGCCGGTGCGCTCTGTTGTTCTTTTGACCACTGGTACACTGTATAAACCATCGCATCATGTCCAAGACCTGATGGCTTCCGCTTTGCATAGCTCCCCCTGCAGCTCCCTCGCTACGTGGCTGGCGATCTGCACGACGTAGGTGGCAACCGCCATCTCATCCCGATAGTCTCCACCCGCCGCATCGGGAGACCACAGCTCTTTCAGAGTCGCTGCGGAAAAAAGCCACGGAAGGGCGCCATAAAAAGCAGAGACAGGTGCCTTGAGACATGGGGGGCAAGAAGACAACAACGGTCCCCTCATTCGGTGGGCGATTAGAAGTAATCGTCACGGCGGTTGCCAGGAAAAGGAGCAACACGATCACCAAACAACTGAAACAATCAACACCAAACACGTGCAGCTCGCGAGTGATGCTGGTCTAAGCTTACATAGGGCTTTCACCCACGAGGTGAGGTCAACCCAACATGGGGAAGGGGAGTGCACGCATCGACCCCAAAAGAGGCTACTAGCGTGGGATAGGAAGAAACGAATCAATCTTCGAAGACTGCGACCCAACAAAGCGTTTGCAGCAAGCAGGTTCAAGTTGCGACGTCCTGCAGTCACCGCAGGCGAACCAACCAAGCAAAGGACGAGGAGAGAACTCACACGTATCCTCCGGCCGAGACAGCGAGAGCGCGGCTTCCACCCTCTTGGCAAGCTCCTCCTCGAAAGGCACATCGCCGTGGGTGTGGTACTCGTCGAAAGCTAGCCCCCCCCGCTCAAAGCGAAACGCCGGCAGGTAATCCTTCCTGAACACGATCCCGCCGTTGGCTTCAAAGCCGTCGGATTCTTCGTCCTCGGCCCCCCTCCCCCCCCCCCCCCCCCCCC